ATTTAATTCAATATCTCCTGCCATTATTAACAAAATTGATAAAAAGATTATTAAGAAAATGCACAGACCCCATCTGTGTCTCGTCCGAATCTGCAACACACTGGATTTTATATTAAGACGGCATTTTCTGTTATTAAACATACCGATAGCTGCTTTGTAAACAACAATAATAACCTCCATTAGGCATAGTATAAAACTTACCAGTCTGCACAGCTGCTCGAAAACCACTTATAGTAATAATATTACACGCGAGAACCACACAAGAAGAACCTAAACAACGTTCTTCCAGAACAAAGATAAATAAAGTTAATAGAGTGTTAAAGTCAAGTAGGCCTATTATAAACATATTAAGTATAGGACTATAGGTGCGGTCATAATAACTGCTAGTTTACAAGCCAGTCCTCGTATTGAAATAACCATTTAATATAGGATTAATTAGACCAAATTAAATTTTTCAAAATCATTCATGTGATGAATTCGAATTATTTTGTCGTCTTTATTACGAACTAATATTTTACCGTCCGTCGTCCAGATTTCCGTCCGTCGTCCAGATTTTACCGTCCGTCGTCCGTATTTTACCGTCCGTCGTTCCAAACATTACATTCAAAACATAGCCTTAATGAGTCACAACACAATGTCACAAAAACATTGAATATTGAAGAATTAAACAAAAACCAATATGCAAACTTAGATCATCCTATTTCAGATTCAGAAATCAGAAATGCTGCAAGAAAACTGAAAAATAAATCTGCCTACTCTGATCGCATAAAAAATTAAAGGATTAAATGTAGTGCTCATGTCTTGCTTCAAGGATTCATAAAACTGTTTAATCTTATACTTGAAGCGGGAAAATTTCTTGTTCAGTGGTGTGAAGGTTTAATAACCCCAATTTTCAAATCAGACGACCGTCTTAACTGCAATAATTATCGAGGAATATGTATTACAAGTTGTCTTGGTAAATTTTTCTGTTTATAATACCCAACGAAAGACTACATACTTTTACCAAAGAAAATGACACTCTTCATCTTTCACAAATTGGGTTCTTACCTAATCATAGAACAGCCGATCATATACTAACCCTAAAACTTTAATAGATAAGTATGTAAATCAAACAACTAACGGGAAAATATATGCATGCTTTGTTGATTTCAGAAAAGCTTTCGACTCTGTTTGGCATGATGGAATGCTTTTAAAACTTCTGCGGAACAAAATTGGGGGGAAATTCTACAATTTGATTAAAATTTGCCCCAATTCAATAATTAATTAGCCACTGACCCACTCATGCTTCCTAACACAACCAAACTAAACTGTTTATTATATGCGGATGATCTTATCTTCCTGTCAAGATCAAAACAAGGCCTTCAAAACTGTTTAGATCAGCTAAACAGCTGGTGTGAACAATGGTTAATGCAGCCTAGTCCCAGTCGTTCTGAAGCAAGCGCGAGAAAAAAGTGGATGTAGAACGAGACTGGGATCTAGGTGTGACGTCACCACTCAAGGTGCTTCAGAACGCCTAGCAGATTTCAGTATTTTTAATATGGCGGAAAATTTATATATTCAAGTAACCTTTTAATTGTAAATACGACAACGTTCGTTCATCATGTACATGTTCGATGTCTACATAGACCTACATAACCAAATCAAACCGTATTAAAAATGTGCTCAACGGCTAAAAAAATTTATATACAAATTTACGATACCGAGTTTGAGCAATCGTTGATGATCAACACTAGACCATACTTGTATACACAACTACGCTTTCTACTTGACAGGCTTAAATTGCTGAGGAGATTGGAAATATTTGCCTGACATGACGATGTTGTCAAAACATTTTTAGTCGGAGACTCGGCATAATTTTCAAGCTTCTAGATAGCATCTTTTGTATATAGTATATACTTTTAGGTCTTACTTCAATAATTACTCTTCACTGTAAATATATATGCAATTTTTTTTTAAACCTAACTAGTGGCCTACATTAAAAAGCCTGAAAAGGTATGCAGTAGGTCTCTAGCCCAACACCTTCAAACTACACATAGTATTTGTTACTTATTATTGTACATACACATGGGAAATAAATATATATTGATTGATTGATTTAATATGGCTATATATTTTAGTAAACACGAGTCATATTTAGCCTGTTATTCCATTCTGACCGTAGGCAGCGAAACGTAGCCTATTTCATTGTTCCGACAGCATTAAAGCAAAACTAATGACTTAATTATAAATGCAAAGGAAATTTTCATAACATTTTCCATTTACAAATGAGGTATGCTTGGTAACCAGGCCAGGGACCACTTTTTTGAAGTCAGGGACCATTTTACCGAAATCTGCTAGGCTCTCTCGCTGAAGCGTTCCGCACAGCACACCCAGGCATAAAACTTTAAGACTTATTTAAATATATCGAAGCAGCGAATAGAGAGAGCCTGGGACTAGGCTGTGGTTATTGGAAATAAACTTGAAAAAAAACAAAAATAATGCAAATACCAGTCTTTTCTATAGGAAGCAGAATTTTGCAAATAACACAAGAATACCTACTAGGACTAAAACTTACACCTACTGGAAAATTTACTTTAGCAATGAAAACTATAGCTGACAAAGCAATACAAGCTCTGTTCGCTATAAAGAAAAAAGTTGACTTTTCCAATTTAAAACCGAAATTAATAGCAATTAAAATTTTTGAAAGCATAATGTCACCCATTCTTCTATATAATTCCGAAATATGGGGAGCATTTACTTGTATCAATAAGGATTTCCATAAAAGGAACCAAACTCCAATAGAGAAAACCCATTTAAAATTTTGCAAACTCTACCTAGGTATTAATAAAAAAGCAACTAACATTGCATGTAGAGGAGAATTAGGCAAATTCCCCCTATTGATAAATATTCATAAAAGAATAATTAAATATATTATACATATTAACACACTTCCAGATTCTGTCATTGTGAAACAAGCATTTCTACTATCCAAAAATCTATATTTGAATAACTAAAGTTTTATCTAAATGTAATGAAAATACTTAAATCCTATGACCCATCCTTTGAATTGGATGAATTAGAACCACTCACACAAGATAATTTAACCAGATATATTAATAATATCAAAAATAAATACACAACATTTTGGAAACACACACTGATTAATTCCTCTAAATTATCTTTCCTATCCTCTTTCAAATCAGAATTTAAACTAGAAGAATACATTAGTTTTATAAAGAACCCGTCACATATAGAAGATTACTAAGTAAATTTCGAACCAGTTCCCGTAATCTATACACATTGAATCCGGACGATACAACAAAACTCCCCGTGAACAACGTTTATGCGAAAACTGCGACACCAATGAAATCAGAGTTGTTAACGAGTCCTATGTTGCAAGTCCAAGTCAAGTCACAAGTTTAAATCTTTAATTGCCTCCAAAATGAAGAGTAAATTATTTACAAAAGAATTTAAACTAGGTATTATAAAATTTACAAATTGATAAGATTAATGGTTAAATTATAAAATACGCCGGCACAAATTCTGTCGATGCCATTGATATGTACTAAGGTCGTTGCCCAAATTGTACAACACGACGATCGATCGATCAACACAAAGATTTTGGAAAACTTGATTTTCACTAGATATTTACGTTTGACTTGCGTTGGTAACAAGTCATTTCTTGCAAGTCCAAGTCAAGTCACAAGTCATTTTGTCCAAGTCCAAGTCAAGTCTTAAGTCACAAAAAGTGCGACTCGAGTCCAAGTCACACGACTCGAGTCCACAACTCTGAATGAAATTGAAGATGAATATCATTTCACACTAGCTTTCATGTAAATATTATGAACAACAAAGAAATGATTTAACAAATATTCTACAAAATCACTTTAATGTACTGATAAATTTCCAAACAACTGATGACTTACTAAACATATTGTCATCGAATAATCTCGATTTGCTCAACATTTTCTCAAAATTTCTTTTCGTTTGTTTTAAGAAACGTGATGAATGCCTTGAAACTAGGTTACATTCGAAGTAGTTAACTTTCTTAAAATTTGATTCTTATATATGATAATTTATTATTTCATAATTCAAATCTTTGATATTGTAAATAAATAGTCAGAGATCCTACAACATTTGTTATTTTGTAAAGTAAAGTAAAATAGATATAAAACCTATTAATATTGTTAATCACATTTTATGTAATACATTATTGAAAACTTTAGCAATACCTTGTAAATAGGTCATGCGAATAAAGTAATAAAATAGCAAATAGCGTATTTGCTATTTTATTACTTTAACGGCAGAACAGATGCCTATAACTTGAAAAGTATGGCACTAAATAAACGCGAACACGGTTTTGCTCCTGAACTATTGTTCAACATTGTGGCCACGTTTAGAGGGAATCGGATAAAACGTGCGCGTTTCTAAACTATTTTTGTGGGGACAATCTGAGAATATTTCAATCTCCGTAAAAGACGATATTAGATTTGGCGGGGTTTTTCGGCTCTCTGTTATCACCTCGAACTGTAATCGGATTAAAATTAGTAAAGTGTGTTTTCGCAAGGGTTTTAGGTGTCATTCACTCATTGTCAGTTTATCACAAACCGTACATGCGAGAAACCACACGAAAAAACTTGCTAATATGTCGGGGAAATGCAAATGTCAAAAGGGGATAGCTATACAGACCGATCTAAATCGGCCAAACGAAAATGTAGTAGAAGATCTGTCGTGCTCCACGAAGACACAAGGGATAAAAATGTAAAAAATAAAAATAAAAATGTAAAAAATGATGAAATCAGTGTTTTCATCATATAATGTAACCTTAAAGGTGTATATACGTGTTCAGTAAGTTGCATGCTTCAGTTCAGTGCAGTACACATGGAGTGCATTTAAACCAAAGAATCTCATTATTTGACCTCATCTGCCTTTGTGTTTAAAACGTATATCTGTAAAAAACAGTATACATTCTTGTCCTAAAACGAGTTGTGGCAAGACCATGCAATGTGTATTTCTCCTAAACGCATTTGATGTACTTGCTATACTTTTATATATATATATATATATATATATATATATATATATATATATATATATATATATATATATATATATATATATATATATATATATATATACGAGTAGGTTTGTGTATACGAAACGCAAAGAGTGCTCAATATCATAAAGATGGAGCAAATGTAGAATTTTTATATATATATATATATATATATATATATATATATATATATATATATATATATATATATATATATATATACATATTACAAAATTATACAGTGTTCTCCGGATTGTAATTATTTGTTTTGAGCTTTCGACTCGGTACTTCGAGCCTTCATCAGAAAGATTGATCATTTGAATTTTCGCGCTGTTGTTGACGCTGTTGGAGTCTGTGGGAACGTCTGATTGGTTAATGGATTTCAGTATGTTGGTTGCCATTGGTTACTATCGAATGCGGGTGATTATTGTTATCATGAGATGGTGTAGGGAAGGAAGTTGCGGGTGGGTTAAAGGTTAATGAAGATGATTAGGAGATTTGTGTGAGCGTTTCAGTTGTAAGTAAATTGTAGGGATGTACCACGACTGTTTCAGTTAAGTTGTTTGATGCAATTTGTTATTAAGGTATGATAAATTCTGGTTTCAGGGAAATATAAACATTGAAAAAAACTTTAAGTATAAAATTATATATAATTTAATTTGTGAACGAAATTTACCATTCCACTGGCAATTTGACGAGCAAACGATTCCAATTCTTTTGTATCCAAAGCAGCACGAATTTCCTCGTTTATCCCTGACGCAATTTTCAAATTTAAATCTAAAGTGTAATATGTAACAAAACTAATCATAAACAGTTGATAAATATCAAATACATTTTTAGTAGTGGAATTCGAATGCAGAAGCATTTGATACAATGGAATTCGAATGCAAAAGCGTTTGATCTTATTTTATTATCACTTTCAACTTCCCTACATCTTCGAAATATTGACAAAAATCTGCGAGCAACTAATTTTTCATGCATTGTTGTATACGTCCAGTTAATATCTCTGTCTGGATATCTGGAGCAAGAACTTCAGAACTTCATTCGTCCTATGAGAAAAGTGAAGCCAAGATGGCGGAAATTGATGTCTTCTTTCTATGAAGGTCGTAAACAGTGAGTTAATACCATTTTCCCAAGCTATTTTTTCCTAATTATAACGGGCGGTATCGCTTAATGAGTAATCAATTCATAAAAGCATATAGTATTAATAAAAGCATTTAGTATTTTTGCACAAGTGAATACAACAAATCCTACAACCTGATTGGTCAAATTTGACGTATTAAGCTGTTATATTCACCTACACGTGAATATAAAAAAACTGACATTTTCAAAATAGCGGCTAGCCGTTTTGTGGAAGTTTATTGATAAAGAAATAAGCGAAATTAAAATAAATTCAGCACCAAATAACACAAAAGACTTGTGTAAAAATACTAAAACAATTATTCGCCTCAGGCTTGGTGATTATCGGGGAATATTCACCTCGACTTCGTCTCGGCGATTATTCCCCGATAATCACCTCGCCTTTGGCGAATAATTGTTAAATAGTATTAATAAAAGCATATAGTATTAATATTCTTTTGGCCAATATAATACATTTCTTGACGGACGGAACTTCCGATCCTAATGAAGTTTTAAATACGATCATATTGAATCGCGCGTGAATCATGTCACTGAAAATTAGCTTCGGCATGATCCTCGAGAAAGTGAATAGATTTATTACGATCGTGAACTCTATGGTTGAAAATTTCTTTTTGGAAAGCACTAGAAGGCACAGTAAAGATAAACCGTTTATTACGAACAAAATAAAATCATTAATAGTTTAAAGGAACACGACATAATTATATAGTAGTGGTAAAATTGAGCTCTTTAGACTATTAAGGGCACAAGTCTCAAAAGAGATTAAGGAAGCTAAATCTACTTTCTATATGATAAGAAGGGTAGACCAAAACGAACTGCTTGTTCGAAATCAAGGTAGAAACAAATTAAACGCCTTACTCATGGAAAGGAAAAAGACAGTGTTACATTAGTAGATCCGGAAATAAAACTCGAATTGAATAATAATCAATCAGTCACTATCATTAATGATTTCTTCGCGGATCTTACTAAGCATTATCCCGAATAAACGAGGAATGGAGATTTTTAACGATTCATTTAGAGGAAAGTACTTCCCAAAAATATGGAAACAATATAAATTAAAAGGCATTCCCTAAAGTTCACCTTGTTCAACTGTAGATAATCTTAGACCGATAGCCCTTACTAGTGTCTTATCCAAAATACAAGAATCCTTTGTTGTCAATTGGATGAATGAAGATATAGATGGCAAAATCTTGGCGTCACAGTTTGGGTGTATTCGAAATTCGTCAACATCTTTGGCATTAATTATTTTTCTTGACTTTAAGAAGACATTTGCCCTTATTGACCATAACATTCTCCAAGAAAATATGAAGTGTATAGGCGTTAGAATGGCGCTAATCAAATGGTTTACAACATATTTAAACGAGAGGTCTCACTACACAGAACTGGGTAATGCTACGTCAGGCCTTCGAATCATTAGAGGAGGGGTGCCTCAGGGCAGTAAAGTTGGGCCAACTGCTTTTATTATTAAGATAAATAATTTCCCTGCAGTTATAAGAGATGAAATGAGTCGAATCATGGCGACCAGCAGTGAAGCTTGTGCTATTATCGAAGATGACACAATTATGTTCATGGACGAATAGAGTAGTGTATAGGATATATATTCTCATTTTTAACTGTAATTCGCATTATAATTGAGTGTTTAACTACTTAATGTGAAATTTTAGAAAATAATAATAATAACAATAACAATAACAATAACAATAACAATAACAATAACAATAACAATAACAATAACAATAACAATAACAATAACAATAACAATAACAATAACAATAACAATAACAATAACAATAACAATAACAATAACAATAACAATAACAATAACAATAACAAGAACAATAACAATAACAATAACAATAACAATAACAATAACAATAACAATAACAATAACAATAACAATAA